TTCCAGAGACTAGTTTTTGGCAATTGAGGGAACGTGTTCCACATCCTTTAATGTGAGAGTCTTTCCTGAAGAAAGAGTCAGCACCACAGTCCCAGTTCCAAGAACAGGAACCACAGAACGGTCAGCCATTGATACGTTCTCTTTGGTAGCAACATAAGAAGAGAACATATCTTTATTGGAGCATACATGATAAGTAGCACCTGTATCTAACCACCAACTAGAGATGTTGCTTGGAGTTGTTACCTGGAAGAGTATAGCCACACAATCATCAACTTGATTGACATTGTACGTTGCTTCCTTCTTTGGTGCTTTGCAGTCTTTGGCAAAATTTTCTTGCTTCCCACAGTTGAAGCATTTGCCGCTCTTCTTGAACTCCTTTTTCTGAATGTTCAGGTTCTTCGGATTCTGGTTCTTCTTTCTGCTAAAAGACTTCTTCTTCTTGAAAGATGAATTATTATCCTTTTCAGAGTTAGTAGGTACTATGTTAGCAGACGCCTTCTGCTTAGCAATGAGCTCAGTCTTTGTGCGAGTCCGAGTCTCGTCCTCGATCAGAATGAACCTCTTTAAGTCAGACAGAGTCACCTGTCTTTTTCTTCTTCGAATATCAGTGGAGAATGACATCCAAGATAGAGGAAGATTGTTGACAATTGCACCAGAGATGAATGTTTGACAAAGACTGATCTTTTCATCCTTCAGCTTCATAACAAGCTTTTCAAGCTCTTTGACTTGAGGTAAAACCTCAGTATCATCTTCAAACTTCAAGTCCAGAAATTTGTCAATGAGGTAAGATTTGGACAGCTTCTCCTCATCCTTGTACTGGTCCTCCAGAGCATTCTAGATTTCCTTCGCAGAGGACTTATTGGTGTAAGCATCTACTAGATGATCGGCCAGGCGGTTAATGAGATAACTCCTGCAAAAGTGATCATCTCTAGCCCAAGAGGCTTCAGCTTCATAGTCTTCTTCAGAGTCGGGTTTTTCCTCAGAAACCACATAGTAGATTTTCAGGAGTTGCATCTCGAAGATTACTTTCCGACGCCATGCGTTGAAATTGGAACCGTCAAAGTTCTCTAACTTAAGACAGTCCACTCTAAGAATCATCGCAGGATCCATGGTAGATCAAAATAATGCTTTAAGATTGTTGGCGCCTGTGGTTAAATCTAAAATAATACAGATATATAATAGCAAAAACTGAACAAAAAATTAAAGTGCAGTAATTTAAAATTTTCAACTCAGCTGCTGTGCGTTTGTAAAACACTGTGCTTAAAGCATTATTTGGCCTAATCCGGTGAAAGGATCCCAAGGCCAAACTGCTTCCAAGAACAGCAGTCCAGTACTCTAGTGTGCACCGACCCAGTACTGTCAAGATCTCCTCAATCCATAAGGTATATCTCCTCAATCTATCAGACAAAGATCTCCTCGATCTATCAGGCAAAAGATCTCCTCGATCTATCAGGCAAAAGATCTCCTCGATCTATCAGGCAAAAGATCTCCTCGATCTATCAGGCGAAAGATCTCCTCGATCTATCAGGCAAAAGATCTCCTCGATCTATCAGGCAAAAGATCTCCTCGATCTATTAGGCAAAATTCCTATAAGCACCAGCTATTTTATAATTTATATCTGTATATATTGATTGTTGTTTTTGGAATGAATTTTTCCTAAGGATTTAAGGTCTATTTATAGCGTTTGGGAAAACACTATGCACTAATAAAATAATATATTTTACTATGCGTGTGGGGTCCACGCTCTTATTTTTCTTTAGTGGGGCCCACCACTTTATGTTAATTTCAACAAAAATCTGACAGCCTAATTTTAGGTAGCAGCCCATGTGTGGTTTCTTTGATTAAAAAAATTAATATCCAACATAACATATATCAATTATACAATCGCAACATAGAATCGCAAAAAGTTGAGCTATCACAGCTAAAAAAAGAGAAAAAGCAACATTTGTTGCCCTGAACTAGTTGGTTCCACAAGAAATTACAAATAACATTAGTCACAAGAAAAATGCCTTAAGGACCCAAAATATGGGACCAAGGGAGGGGACAGGTGAGATGTCTCCCTCCTATTGTATAATGAGCTGGTCATGCTAGCTCATTATGCAATAGGAGGGAGATATCTCACATGTCCCTTCCAATGGTCCTATATTTTGGGACTTTGTAGTAGCGCTCATCATCTCTAAGAGCTAGTGGCACAGCCACCTTAAAGCCCATGAGGCCTCCAACTATAGAGGTGTCCGTTCGGGCTGGCCCGGCCAGGAAATCCGGATCTAGGCCGCACAAAACGGGTGGCTCGCACCCGAACCCGAGGTGCCTGGGCCTACCCGAATTTTTTTATTTTTATTTTTATTAGTTTTTGGTAAAAAAATTGCTTAAAATTTAGATTAATCTTATTATATTTATATAAGTATGTATTAGTGTGTATGTGTATTATGTGTAAATATATTGTATATACTTATAACTTGAGAGAGAGAATCACATAAGTATATATTACTTATTTATAAATATGTATTATATAGTTATATATGTATTTGTTACATACTTACATTATGCTTATTTAAGTACAATTATACACTTTACTTATATGATATACTTTTATATATACTAGATGAAATATACTTATATATAATTATACTTATGTACGTATACACACTTGTAGAATTGTAATTCTATAATACACACATATAAGTATATTTATAACTACATCATATATATTTATATACTTATATCTTAGTATCTATACCATGCTAAGAGTATATATATATATATAATTCGGGGAGGCAGTTACGCCCTTTAACCCCATGATCAACGCTTCGGTTACGCAGTAAAGGCATATAAATAGCCTCCGGCAGCTATGAAGAGGCCGACAGAGGAGATCAACTGGCAACTTGAGGTAAACTTTTGGATCATTGGGAATTCCAAGCAGAGATTTTGTGCATAAGCCTAAGACCAGAACCTCGGTTCTTGCAGCCTAAGCCGTCGCTAGAAGCCTAGGCGATCTTGTTCTGATCGTCAACGGGAAGCAATCTCGACTCAAGCATCGAGTGAGGCATCCTTTCGCCACACAGAGCCTACGTTAAACAAAAGAGAAGTCAAATTAACCTTCTCTTTCTCTGTACTCGAGAGAGAGCAATTGTAAGGGATTCTTACCAAGTGATAGAACCATTCTTAAAACAAGAATCAATTGTATATTTTTCGACCCTACAGTTACCCTTGAGTTGCATGACTTTCTTTTATAGAGGATCAAAAGGGCAGATAGGTAACTTGAGCCAAGTCTAGCAGGTAGCTAACTCGGCAGACAACTGATAGATGTCGACTGCTAGAAAAGATGAGTCATCCAGGTGGTTAGTACAAAGCGCAGCTGCTGCTTGAAGCTAACGGAGCCTGATGAGTCATAATGACTTTTGGGCTGAAGCAATGATAATTTTTTGACCATACATTTAATGCGAGGGCAGACGACTGTCGGCACGAGGTTCAAGGAAGACCGCCTTTCGACTCGGCACGAGTCAATCTACCCATCGGGCTGTCTGTCGAGAAGGTACGACTCCTTGCGAGAAGGGCGAGAAGTATCGCCTCTTCAGTCGTTTGGTGGAGGGTCGACTAACACTGTCTTTTTACTCGGCCTCGAGAATTATCAACTGAGATAGTGGGCTGAGTGTGGAGGATTGTGGGCTCGATCTGATAGGTAGGTCGATAAGTACCACCTTTCGGATCGGCCATGTAAGTTGTCGGTTTATAGAGTCGGCCGCAGTAGCGTTTCGAGTCGTCTGAGCTCTGATCATGTTTGAAATGGCGTGGAGCGGGACGCGTGTTGACAAATCAAGAAAGAATATTAATGCTTAGTTATTTGCATGCTATAACAATATTTATAAGACTATGCAATTTAGATAAAAGCCCCAAATCAACAAATCATCGATTCTGTTGGATATAATGAGAAAACATTTGACTGTTTTATTGATATTTCTATACTGCAGTTATAAGTCGTTAGCCTATCAAAGTTAATGTTTTATTGCTTTGGGGTATCTTAAACGAGGTGCAAACTGGGAATATAGTTTAGTAAATATCGAGATTGTAGAATAGTCTTGCAAAATATGCATGATTAAGGGATATACATACATAAACACCCAAAAAAGATTTTAAGTCTTGCACCCCAATTAAAACCACTGCTGGAACCACAAAAACCTACTTATTTTAAGTCTCGCACCCCAGTTCTGGCACGTGTCAAGATACCAATTCGACCAATCAGGATTTAGATCACTTTTAACCAAACCAGGACCATCACAAGAAAATGATAGAACGCAAACGCCAAGAAGAGAAGCAAGAGCGACGGAGGAGGCCACATGCCACAAAACTCATCTTCTAATCAGAGAGTGGTCCCCGCAATGGGTGTCGCCTCGTCGGTGCGTTCCTAAAAAATAAATAAATAAATAAATAAATAAAAATAAGGAAATAAATTAAAGGAATAGATAAAAGTTAAAGCTTCTCCACCCCAGGACCGCGTTTCTCGGTCTAGAAAGGGAAAGGACCGAGAGGGAGAAGCATCAAAGAAATTTCTAGCTGTCGTCTGTCGTCGTCGTCGTAATTAGACGACTAAATTACCCGAATTAGCCGGAGATGGCGGTGAGGATAACCGCACCCATATTCCTCACCTCCTTCCTCCTCCTCTTCGTCTCGCGGCCGTCTCTGCGCCGCCGCTAACACTAACCATTCATATGGCGGTGACCACAACCACATCCGCTCTCCTCTACCCGTCTTCAACCGCCACCCAGTCTCTCACCGGAGCCTCCGTCGTCGGGGGAAATCGAGGGGAGCGTTCAGATCGGCCGGAGCGATCGCTCGATCCTGAGGCGGGTCCGATCCGTGCTGGTTGCCGTGCGCTTCGAAGGCGATTGCCGCCCGCTGATGAGGGCTCGGCGAACGGCGATGCTGCATGGTGATGTCGCGTAATGGCTGCTGCTGCAGGTGGCTGTTCGGAACATGGCGGCGGTCGAGCCTGCGCGTTAAGTTTGCTCCGGGTGGAGCCGGTAGAAGAGGTACAATTGGGAACCGATTGAGGAGGAGGATGTGGAGGCCGGGAGTGTAGCTTACCCCATGGTCCTTGTCCAAATTCCAATGTACAATGAGAAAGAGGTCCACACTTATGCTTTTACTCTTCTTTTCCTAAAATTTTAAACACCCCCACCCAAAAAAAAAAACCAATCTTCTTTTTTATTTTATCATGAGCTAGACTAATCGAGTCATCACATTCATGATCGGCACCGTACATCTTGTTCAACACGTTATAAAATATATATATGATATATAATTTGAAGTATTCTAGAATATGAATCAAACTAGTTTCATATGTTGATTTTTCAGGCAGTTTAACGGTCATCGCTTCTACACATAGCTAAAACAATGATTAAATTTTTTAAAATAATATAATCTTTTCTACATATAGATTATGGTGAGTGTAAATCACGATGGGCGGTGTCGATCATCATTTTGAGCAGCCTATTGGGCTAGCTCACAATAAGAATCTGAGCTCATCATCTCATTTTTGTCACATATATATATATTCTTTTATTTTTAATTTTACGGGCAGGTGTATAAGCTTTCCATCGGAGCAACCTGCAAGCTATCATGGCCATCAAATCGCCTGATAATACAAGTGCTTGATGACTCGACTGATCTGACGGTTAAGGTAGACTTGATTTTAAGTTTCTCTGCTCTCTATGTGTACATCCTTTAAATTCCTTAAATAAATGATTAGGCATATGAAGAAATTTTCAAATAGCCTCAAACAAAATGGCCAGAAAGTGGGTCTATTTTTTTAAACGCCTTTCTAATTAGTCGGGGTTGCCAACCCCGACTAATTTGGCAACCCCGACTAATTAGGACTTGCAATTTTTTAGCCAAATTAGTCAGGGTTGGCAACCCCGACTAATGAGGAAGACGTTTTAAAAAATAGACCAGGAAACCCCGACTAATTAGGAAGACGTTTAAAAAAAATAGACTCACTTTCTAGCCACGGTGCTATTGTAGCCAGAAAAAGAGTCTATTTCTGTAATAAAAACGTAAGAGGGTCGATTTTTAAAAAAATTGGTTTGGGGCTATTTTGAAAATTTCTTCTTGGGCATATACATGCTTTCATTATTCGCAAGATATGTACATGCCTCTTGTAAATAGGAAGCGGGTTGGGACGTATCTTATGTATTGTGGATCTCGTGAAACATGTCACCTCAAAGAGCCCTAATGGTGTCCTTTCACAATTGTTGCTTTAATGGTTATGTTTTTGGTTACTTGCATATTTAGCCCTTAAATAATTGGTATTTGCAAAATGCCCCCAAATCTTAGTATTCTCAAAACTACCGCGTAAATCATTGACTTAGGGGGAAATGCCCTTAAAATCAACAGATCATCGACTTGGTGATAAAAAATTTGCTATTTTGTTGATACTTTTCAAGCTTATCAAATAATTATAATAATTAGCTTATTAAAGTTAATAATTAATTGCATTGAGTGTAATTTTTTAAAATTTGATGATTTATGGGGTAATTTTGCAAATACTTATATTGGAGGGTATTTTTGCAAATGCCCATGATTAAGAGGTATATATGCAAATCACCCCTATATTGTTTTGGGCTTGTCAGTTGGTAGGCCCAATTGGTTTTTAGATGTTGCTTTGTGGTTGGGCATTCAACACTTATTTGGCATTATTTACCATAAATGATTTACTCGATTAAAAGAAGTCAATTTGTGACTTTTTTTATTACAGAGTAGAATATTTCTAAGGGGGTGTTTTCAGTGAGAATTTGCTACCTTGCATTGAATTCACAAGTTTAAAATCTTATATTTTTATCAAATACTATGATTACTTGGAAATTTTCGTCAAAGATACATGTAAAGAGACCGACTGTAATCTCTTTTTTTATTATATAAACTGACTATAGTCACTTGTTTATATCAAACTGTGGTTTTAGGAAACCGATTCTTTAATAGGAAACCGGATTCTTCTGACCTATGTAATCGCTGCTTTTTCCCTCAGTCAGCTACATCAATTCTCATCCCTACTTCTATTGAAAATTTTATTAAAAGTAAAAGTTTGAAATTATCAAACATCTTATCTTTAGCCCTTATTGGTTACAGAAACAATTGTAGCTTGTAGTCATGAACATCCTATGGCATATATTTTCTTCTGTTTTCCCTCTTTTTAAATACTCGTGAAATATATTCTCCATCTTGGCCAGGTAAAAGATACATATAGAATTGTGTAAACTAGGATGATTAAGTTAGATCATTTCAGATTATTCTGTCAGCTCATTGTGTTGATTTTGATTTATATTCAATTCATGGCCCAAGTTGCTTCTGCCATTGCCATGTATTGGTTTTAGTGATCAACTATACATTAATTTTATTGGTCTAGACTTTGAAGACTCAGTGATCCATTAAGGCTGGACATGCCATGTTGGCAACAGTTTGTGCTAGAGGTGCAAGTTGGATGTGGTTGCACATGATATATTGATCAACTAATTAATAAGTTTTGAAGACTAAATTAGGATTCATTCTGGGTTTCTTGAGAAAATTGAAATTCGACTTAAACTCTGGTTGTGTATAAATAGTAACTCATCAAAACTCAAAATACAACTGTAACTGATGTGACTTGTGAGTTAGGTATTAGTTAATTGTATTTTGTGAATTAAGATGTTCACTTTCTTTATCATACTTGCTATGTAGGATATGTTTCATTACATGCAACAATTTGGAAAATGTTATTAAGAAAAGCTTCCCACTTGATAAGAGGGAGCTAGTTCAGTTACATGTTCAAAAAATGAGCACAAGAAAGGCATGATGCTGCTATGCTTTTAACATATCTGATTGTTTGTTTTCTGTTTTTCTCTAATTTATAGGGTTTGGTAGAAGTTGAATGCAAGAAGTGGGCAAGTGAAGGCATGAATATATTCTACGAGGTTAGAAACAACAGGAAGGGATACAAAGCAGGTGCCTTGAAAGAAGGCATGCGGTATAGCTACGTTCAACAATGTGAATTTGTTGCTATATTTGATGCTGATTTCCAACCAGCATCTGACTTTCTTATGAGAACTATCCCTTTCCTTGTGCATAACCCAAAGGTCTCTCTTGTTCAAGCACGTTGGGAATTCGGTATGTTCTTGTTTTGTCTGCTATGTCATTTAATTTTGTTAGTGACTCATAAATATGGTAGTTTATTATTATTTTTTACTTTCCCTTATTTGATCGTTCAGACTTAAGAGTGTGTGCACGAAGAATGAAATTTTGATATGTAAATAATTTGTGCACAGAGGACATTTCAGTTTCAGAAAACTGTAGGGATGAAATGAGCGAGATTGTACCTCCTATGTGCACAAATTCATGTTCAAAGCCCATTTCATTTGTTATAAAAAGTGAGGCATCTCTCTCCTGGTTTGGAAAGTGTTCATATTATTGATAGCATACATTATCATTAATTTCAGCTACCCGTTAAAGCCATCCACTTGATCAATTCCAGAAGTTCCATTGGGTACACAGTTTTTCATAATTAGCTTCAACAGAGCAACTAATGTGCCGTAACTCACACAAAAATTGACTTTCAGGACTCTGTAAACAGGGTTTCTTTTATTGTGTACCCCATGGTTATGGTATTAAAGAGTGATTCAGCTCTTGTTCTTGATTTTGAAACTTGAACAATTACTTGTATCTCAATGTATGTTGGTTTCAGTACATATGGAAAGTTTCTTTAATTGAATATTTTCAGGATACCAAAAGGAATAATATAGCCTCCTGTAATTGGTCTTCAATGTTCTTTATTGATATTCAGTTCCTGTTTTTCACAGTATGATGCTTTCTCCTTGGTAAATAAGATCATTGCTAGACTTCTCTCCTCATGAAGATTATACTTGCTTTTCCAGCTAAAAGTTTGCTTGGGTCCATTTTGGTCACTCTTAACTACCCATACCTGCATCAGAAAGTTGACTTTTGACGGAATTCACATACTTTTTCAAGCATATGTATCTTGATGAATTTGTTAACTACATTACACGGCAATTCATTAGTCTGAAATTTATTTTTTTAAGGACCCAGTTTGCATAGAAACTTCTATTCATTCTGATATATTATTTTTCAAATGACAGGAAGCTGACGTGGCATTTCCCGGGCGATTTTGCAGTGAACTCCAGTGAGTGCCTGATGACAAGGATACAGAAGATGACCCTTGATTACCACTTCAAAGTTGAGCAGGAAGCAGGTTCATGGACACATGCCTTCTTCGGATTTAATGGTAAGTCATGATGACCCCTCGGTGACCTATTTGCTTAAGTAGGAAGCATTTAGTGGTTTGGTAAAGACGACAGCAGCCTTAGTCATTGTCTCTTTATTTTGTAGGATTTTGCATTAGGTTCTTTTCTTTATGATATTTACTTTTCGTGATATGAAAAATAAACATGTTGAAATTGTCTCATTTTTACAGGAACTGCTGGCGTCTGGAGAATATCAGCTCTTGATGAAGCTGGAGGTTGGAACGACAGGACCACTGTAGAGGACATGGACTTAGCTGTTCGGGCAGGTCTCCATGGATGGAAGTTTGTGTACCTTGGCGATCTTACGGTAATAGACCCATGTTAACTGATTATTTCTTGTTTTCAACTCTTACTGAACCAAACAGTTCATCTGACCCTCAGGTTATAGATGCTAAAGAAACCGATTTTTCGGGTTAAATACATTTTAATTTTAAAGAAAAAGCCTACAACCCTTGTAATTGCAAGTTAATATATCAGAAGTTATACCTGCTTATTTTGTTTTTTTCAAGAATATAAATGGAGGCGAAGTTACTGCCTTCAAGTATGGCCAAGGATCTCTTGTGTATATTAAGTGACCAAAAGTAGGGAAAACAGAATAACAATTTGAATCCCTTATCTTGCACCCATCGGCCGCTATTCTTGCAACAGATAATGTATAAAATCTTGTGTGTATTAAGTGATCAAAGTAGGGAAACCAGAACAACAATTTTAATCCCTTCTCTTGCACTCATGGGCCATTATTCTTGCAACAGATATTGTATATATTTCCTATATCTGCTTGAACAGGAATCAGAATGTTGTGCATTAAAAAAACATGTGCAACAATTTGAGTGTAGCAAAAATGAGAACGTGGAGATGGTCTGGTGGGCATACACTAAAAGATAGGAGAAGAAGTGAGTGCATCCGTAGTACATTAAAAGCCGCTTCTATTGAGGATAAAATAAGAGAGAATTGATTAAGGTGGCTTGATCATGTATAACGGAGACCTCTTAGTGCACTGGTTAGGAAAGTGATAATATTATATCTAATAGAGCAAAGAGATTTGAAAGTAGACGTAAAAGAACTTGGTTAGAAGCAAATTACAAATGATGCAATCATAGTGAACTTAATAGAGGAGATGGCCCCATAATAGAATAGAATGTAAGAGTAGGATTCATGTAGCTGAGCTCAAACATTTGTGATGAAGGCTTTGTTGTTGTTGTTGTCATTATCCTTGCAATAGAGAATAATGTATGTTTTCTCTATATTTACTTGAATATTAATCATCATTTATTTCTCTAAGGGATAACATGATACTAAATCTTTTATCATGGTATTAATGTACATGTTACAATCATTCCCAGGTGAAAAGTGAGCTGCCAAGTGATTTCAAGGCATACAGGAATCAACAACATCGCTGGACCAGTGGGGCTGCAAACTTGTTTAGAAAAACGGCAAAGGAGATTATGACTACAAAGGTTAGCCTTATGTGTGGAAAGCAAATTAAAACGCACGTGAACATTGATTAGTTCTGGTGCGTAACGCTAATATCCATTTATCATGGAGCAGGAAGTATCTCTATGGAAGAAGCTTTATGTGCTGTACAGCTTCTTTTTCGTGCGGAAGATCATATCTCATATCGTCACCTTTTCTTTGTACTGTGTCATAATTCCGGCATCAGTCATTATTCCAGAAGTTAGCATTCCTGTATGGGGAGTCGTTCATATTCCTACAACTATTACGCTTCTGAATGCAATCAGAAACCCTAGGTTTGATATTCTTCATTTACAGATTCCTGTGTGGGGAGTTGTTCACATTCCGACAGAGTTGCTTTGAACTTTTAATATCTATTTTCACCCGATGTTTGACGCTATCAATTTTGCACGTCACAGCTCTATACATCTAATTCCGTTTTGGATTCTGTTTGAGAATGTGATGGCGATGCACCGAATTAGAGCAACCCTGATTGGGCTAACAGGAGCAGGGAGTGTAAATGAGTGGGTGGTGACGGAGAAGCTTGGAGGTGTTCCGAAAGCTACCCTTACAACTCCTTTGCTGCAAAAATCTAAACCGCGCTCGTACAGGGACAGGTAGGAGAGGTTTCTTAATATGCAATCGAGTGGGCTGTTGCTAATATCTTTGACATATTTTCCTCTTCAGGATTAATCTGCCGGAACTTGGATTTGCATTCTTTCTCTTCTTCTGCGCCTGCTATGATGTTACATTTGGGAGAGATTACTACCACATATACATATTCTTCCAATCTTTTGCGTTTTTTGTTGTGGGCTTGGGTTACGTCGGCACCTTCATCTCCAGTTCCTAGCGATGCTTGGTAGTTTTTGCATCTTCATCTCTAGGACGGCATACAATTGTTCTGCTTTGCGTGAAATCTTTAGTGGTACATACGAGGAGAAAACAATTCATTCAGACGGCGGCGCGTGCTCATTTTATAATTATAATGCTACCGAGAGATTCGCTAGCTTCCCCAAAGTAGCATAGCTTCCGGAAAGTCGAAAAGGGCCAGGTTTTTGGAGCCCTCCTCTATAGAGAGGATCTAAGAACCATTCTTTTGCTGTTTACAGGGGGCGCATAAATTGGCGATGATTATTTTTATTTTTATTTTTTTTTGTTAATTCTTGTTAGACATACTGGTTCTATGTGATTTGTATTAAGTTTCCTACATCTTGGAATCATGGTCGTGGTCTTTTTACATGCGGGCATCTGATGGGAAAGGCTTGCGTTCGTCTAGTATTACTACCCCTACCTAGCAGGATCCCCACTTCTTATATGTGAAATATAAAGCAAGATGTCAATGAATCTTGTACGGAACTAAGAATTCAGTTTTTCTGGGGGGTGAAGGAAGAAGTATAATTGTCGTGTATTTTGGAGGGAAAAAAATTATACTCGTATCTTAGCCCCCTTATTATGTCATCCCTTTAAAGTGAGGTAATGTCTAGACTAGAGCATTTTCAAAAAAAAAAAATAATTGTTATATCTAAAGTTATATACATTATATGAAAAAGGATTATTCCGATATTAGCCCCCTACAACTTCTCACTCTTCCCTCTTTGCTTTCTCTCTGTCCGTCCGTCCGTCCGTCCCACTCGATCTCCTTGGTACTCAATGGCGAGCCGAAGCCAGCGAGGCCCGGAACCCAACTCGGATCCTCGACAGCGCTGCCAGAAGGAAGGTAGCGTCGTTCCTCCTCAGCGACGATCGATGCGTTGTGGGTCTGACGCGGGCGCCGAGATCGGGCGGTGTCTTCTGACCCAGTGGCGCAGGCGAGGGTCGTGTTGCGGCGGCGGCGCGCGGGCGAGTACAGAGATCTTTGGCGGCGGCGGTGGAGAAGGCGGCCCCCCTGCTGCAATTTCATCGAGAAATCTCCAACCCTCGTCATTAGGGGGGAGGGTATCCCCCGATTTCAAAACAGTTTTTAAGCACTGTTTAGAACTTAAAAATTATATGTAATTAACTAACAATGAAACCATTATTGAAATAAAAAATAATTTTATTAAGTAAAAGTGTATATTTGTATGGAATGACAGAGAGAAACAAAACAAACACAGAGATTTTACGTGGTTCGGAACAAGTCCTACTCTACTTGAAATAATAAATTCCTGAATATTAGACAAGAAATAATTTTTAGAACGTTTATCATGATTGTTTTCAAAGAAAATATCCTCTTGAGCAATAGCTTCTTGAAATAATATATAAGAAATGACAAAGATGTAACATAGTAAATATATCATAAAATGTAGTTAAAAAAATATTGAATAAATGTTGTGCATTGTTCGAATAGATTTTACAAAAATCTAGCAATACATGCATGTATTGCAAATTTACAATCTGGTGTAAAATTTAAAATTTATGAATTTTCTTTATTATTTAATAAATAAAATCAATTGAAAAGGCGGTAATTGGGGGTAAAGTACATTAAACCCCCATGAAGTGTAAGCGTTTTTCGTTAAAACCCCATGAACGTTGAAAATCACACTAAACCCTCAGTAACTTTTTGGAATTGTAGAAGACCACTAATAACTTTCCGAGTTTTGTAGATAACCCCCTTAAATTAGAACAAAAAAACCCTAAAATAAAGCTATTTTGAAAGTTATTGGGGGTCTAGTGTAATTTACTGAAAATATGGTTTGGGTTCCTATAAAAGTTATTGGGGGTTTTAGTGTGAATTTGAAGTACATGAGGGTTTAAATGCAACTAGAAGTTCATAGGAGTATAGTGTAATTTATCCTAATTGAAAATAGGATATGGGAGCCAACGTGCCGGGTTAAGCGGGTCGAACCGCTTACAATTAGGCTCAGCTTGCGCGCTAGGCTCGACGGGCTGAACAACTCCTGTAGCCCGTTACAGTAGTGAGCCGAATTGGACCTGTCCCACGCCGACCCGGGTCAAGCAGAACTCAAAAGCGAGCCAAGCGAGCGGGCTTGTGGGCCGACCCGGCCCAGTGCCCACCACTAGGTATATCCTTTGCGCAGATCTTTATTGGGCCGGTTGGCATGTTGGCCTGCTATGGGCGTGCTAAGGCCCGCCTCACGAAGGGAGCTAGGACTTGTACTTTATATGCTGCAAAAGTGAATACTGCTAATTGATTTCATCTCCCGCTCGCTTTAGATTTTCAAATTTCCTTATATTATGCAAAAGCACCACAACTGAAACAGACTGGCCTGCTGCCTTGCTCGTCTTGATCTTATCACGGACAACTATAGAAAAAGAGAAATATAAGCAAACAGACGAGCTCGAAAATCTCTTGTTAGCCTCCTCATCATTTGTACGGTATCCCAATTATGAAATTCCAAACAAATTGACATGCTCTACCCTCCGGCATCTCTATGCACAATATTCATTCCATGTACCTTACCTTACAATAACAACAACAACAATAACAACATCAATAATAATAATAATAATAAGGCCAGCTTTGGTAATGTCGATCTGCTGAAGGCCACCATTCATTACATTGCATTCCAATAACAGCAGCGAACGATAAGAGGAAGACAGAAGCCACTGTAGGCGTCAAAAAATACTTGCAGACATCCAAATACCATTCAAAACAACATGCGAGAACAATTTACTCGTCATCAGGCACACAAGGTGGGCGCGGCACACTCACTGTGTCGCGGCTAATGGAAGCGACAGCATTATAGACTGCGCCGCTTAAGCGCCCGACAGCTTGTCGTGGTCGCGGCTGAGCGCGACAGCTTGTCGTGTCGGCCGGGCTTGGCGCGGCCCTGCCAATCTAGCAGGTGCGCCCACTATGTTAAAGGACGTGTTTCAGGCAGTTCACGAAACAGTTATATGATGATTTTTGCAGGCCCACGTGGCAGCATACAGAAAACAGAACCTGTGTGCTGACGCTTGGACAAGCCAAGTTAATGCCACGAAAAAAGGCTGGCGCTTAAAGTCGTTCGGGGAGAGCGGTTTTAAGCACGATCAAACGTAGCTGATAACCTGCCTCTTCGCCGCGCCACTTACACTGCCGCGCCAATAGCGCCCCCCCCCCCCCCCCCCCCCCCCCCCCCCCCCCCCCCCCCCCCCCCCCCCCCCCGGCCAGTGTAGACCTGCAGCGTGCCAGCGGCAAAGAGAAAACCGGCCAGTCAGTTATTGCGCCCTCCGTATTCAACTGTGTGCACTGAGAAGCCTATAAATACCTCAACTAGGCACGAATTAAAGGACAGGAGAAGCGCATTTTTGGCAGCAGAACAGCATACGTTTGAGTCTTTGTGCATTTGAGAAAGAAAGAGAGAATTTCACCCTCTGACAAAGCATATTTTGGGTGAATCTAAGAGATCTAAGCGGCTCAGACTTGATCTTTGGAAAGAACGGACATCTTAGGAGGGCGGATAAGATTTCGTTTTTTCAAACCTTTACTTCGATAAACGACTAGGAGGAGATCCTTAAACAACCTCCTCGCATCTGACGAATCGTTTGGTCCACGAACTAAAGCATTCCCTGGCGACAGCGAAAGTCCCACAAAAGCAGCAGTTTGATAAAAAAAAAACAAATCAATTTCTGTGTTATTTTCCGAGAGTTTGCTATTTTCTTTTATTTTCATTGTAATTCTTGTAACGATCGACAGTTTTAAATGGAATCTGCAATGGCAAACAACTGTTCGCCGAAAACAAAAACTGGCGAACCACAGTGGCGAGCCCAGCGGCCTCGCATTGCCGAGCCGCAGATGTCGCCAACCGATTGAAGATTCATCGTCACCAAGAGATCGAATATGGAATTCGATCAGGCAAAATTACGAAGGCAGTATATGTCATCCTCGTCATCAAAATCCTCCGTCACCCCACACAGCTGCAGGCAAGATTTCTTCTCCCAAGAAAGTTCCCGAGCCTCTTCCAGCTTTCCACATGAGACCAGCCAGGTAGAGATTCTTGCCCACAGTCATTGCAAAGAATCAACCTGCACATTCTCTGTTCGAATGACCCATTCACGCAGTCTCAAGGGTCCTTAAACCAAGCATGCTCCAGGAATTGACAAAGAGCAGCCCTCGTCTAGAGACAACCGTCAACGCCCGCGCTCGTCAATTGGCTAAGGCCCATGCAACAGACCGACGGGTCCATTATACACGGACCCCTAAAAGGCGACGGGGAACAAAAGCATGATTCAGTTGCCCCAAACGGCAAAATAATCACTCTTCTGCACACTTACGACAGAGCGAATCGACCTGCCGTCAAAAAGAGCTCGTTGTACCCTGAAGAGCGCTATACAAACAAAACGGCTCAAGCAAAAGCTGCCTCACGGCTCGTAGCCCTCAGTCAAACACAGTGCCAGGGAAAACAAAAAGAAGTGGTTACAGATGAAAACCACAAAAGAACTGTAGAGTTTAGGGTCCAAAAACAGAGCAACACCCAAAGAATACAGAGACAGTCAGTCTTCCAACCGCCGGCAGCACAGACTTGTCGCGGCTCATCATATGAACCGCGGCAACACGCTACACTTGCGCGGCTCATCATATAACCGCGGCAGCCCATACTGCCCGCGCCCATCAAACCAACCGCCGACAGCTTATGCGGCCGCCGGCAAAGAAAGGTCACATGGAAGACCCATTTTCAACTCGCTTCAGCATCCGTGCCCAAAGCCTCCGCTCTGCTGCGTCACCAGTGAAAGCATTCAGGACAAGCCGCACATATGAAAGTCAAGACTTCACAGAATTACGATCTCCTTCAGTTTGGCATTTTGATAATCAGGGGCAAACCCCAACCAAAGAGCAGTCAAACAGCAAGGTAAACCCTAGTGGTTTCTTCTTACAGGGGTCTAAAACATCCTCCGTGCTCAGAACTGCCACAACGTCCAGTACGAAGAGAATACCAGTTCATTCTCGCTCAGACCGATGATGACCACCATTCCCGCCCGAGGCGGGTGGCATTTAAAATCCCAACCTTTGGATCGCTCAAAGCGACAACAAGATCGTCCTGCTCACGTTAACAAGCGTTCAGAAGAAAGGCAGATAGGTTTGCCTCAAATCGTAACAACGATTAACTAGTACTATCAGAAAAATAACTCAAGAAAACAGATTGCTACAAGAAAACGCGAGTCTCACTGCTCCTTGTGAGAGACTCATCAGGCCAGTGCTGACAGAATGCGGATGCTCTAATAGCGAATTATTCAACAGCAGTCTCCGTATTTCAAAGCACTTTCAACGCCTGAAACGTCAAGACCCAAGAGGAGACGTTGTCAACAAGAAGAAAACCGGCAGCTCCGACAAGATGAGTTTCCCTTGGAGCGTC